CAAATTACATTGTCTCTTGAAATCTTCCCAAGTAATCGTCGGTCTGTCTCTTTCCACCTTCAAGAACCACAATTGGGCATCTCCCTCAAGATGGAAGGAAGCCAACCCAACTTTTTCTTCTGCTGGAGTATTTTGATGTCTGAAGAAATGCTCACACCTATTAATCCGACCCAAGGGGTCTATGGAACCATTATATTTTGGGAAATCCAATTTTGTATACTTAGGAACAAAAGCGGCTGCTTCAGTTGTCTCTCCCATTGTCCTCCTTTCACGTCGGCCTCTATTAACACTTCCTTCGCCTCCCTCAGCACGTCCTTCAGGCCTTCCCGTGGACAATTCCCGTGACAATTCATCTAATCGTCCGGCTAGTGCTTGTTGTTGTGCTGCCATCAATGCACGGTCTTGCTCTCGTTCCTGACGATCTCGATCTCTATTTTCCTTATACATCTTGAGGAAAGTCTCAAATTGTTGCTGAAAGGAACGGAAATCTTCCATAACCACCGGCTCTGACTCCAATTTGTTATGAACAGGCCCTCTGGATCTAGTTATAGGACCCTGAACACTGAAATCTGGTTGTTGATTACTAGAATTTTGAGTTTTTCTTACCTTATAACCTATTTTGATTATACTTTTTGGGCTCGTTAAAGAGAACCCAACGATCTCCAAGAGTTAAAAGACTCAAGAACTTTTATCAGAATTTTTCCACACCATTCTTATTTCTTAAACCAGTACTTAAAACTTACAGAAATAACTTCTTCTAAACTGCTTCTAAACTGCTTCTAAACTGCTTCTAAACTGGTCCTAAGTTTTAGCAGTTTGAATTATTCATAATATATAAACCTAACCAACAAGTGCCAACAACTTACACAATACATATGCATAATATTCTGCCTTATAAACACCTGGCAGAAACTAACAACCACACTAAAACATTAATAAAATATCATAACAGAGGATTATCTAAACTTAATTCTTCTTTGATCTTCGCTGGTAAACTTTGAATGGCAGAACTTTAGCATTTGCTGACAAATCTTGGACCATAACATCACTTCTTCCCTTTGAAGAGCGCTTGTCCTCAAGCGCAAATTGAGGATAACGAAGCTGCATATGCTCTGCAGATTCCCAAGAAGCATCAGCGGGTGAAAGTCCTTCCCAATGAATGAGAATCTCCTTTAGGCCATCTTTAATTCTCGAATCCAACACAGCTTGAGGAGTTGGAATAGAAACACCCTTATGAAGAAGAGGTAATGTAGAAGAACAAATTTCAGTACCATGGAACTTCTTCAAACAAGAAACATGAAATACAGGATGAAGTTTAGAGCCTTCAGGAAGGTGCAATTTGTAATCCACCAAACCTATTCGATCAATAATAGGAAAAGGCCCATAAAAACGAGGAGCTAATTTCTGATTACGCTTAAACCCCACTGAAACTTGACGATAAGGCTGAAGCTTTAAAAGCACCATGTCCCCCACATCAAAAGACACATCTCTATGTTGAGAATCATAATAAGTCTTCATAACATTTTGGGCATGAAGCAGACGCTCCCTCAGCTCCTGCAAAACCACATCTCTAGCACG